GCACGGTCTGGGAACTCAGCACGTATCTCTTCATCAGGGCATGCTAGAATTCGTCCGAAGATGTTCGCGTTCCGGTTCCTCATTCGCCTTTTTAACGGTTCGGTTCCTCAGCAAGTATTACGAGTGAGGAGGCACGAAGTCTTGCCCTGCTTTGTATTTGAAGGATGTGAAGATGTCTTTCTTTCAGCTTTTTAACTAGTAATTACCGCTTCATCAAAGGCGATAGTGTTGCTCTCACACAGTGGAGTTGTTCAGTGGGTAAAGCTCAATGGTCATTGCTATTCAGCCTGTATCGAGTGAACGATTAGATCTCTGATTCATCACACGCATAGTGGGAAAGTGTTTGCTCATTAGTGGAATGCAGAAGCCATATTTCTTGTAAGTTTGGTGGCAAGGTGTCGAGGAATCAGAGGTGAAGTACGGTTGTTGCATTCTCCTTAACGGATAGGAGTGACTAATAGAGGTGGTTTCGCTCATAAGTATTCTGAATCAATCGCTTTTGCGCGTCTGCATTGGCTACTTGTGTATCATCTACTCCGTTGAGCAAACTCGTAAACTCCGAGGGAAACATGGCGTTAGCCTTCACATTCTCCATCTTGATCGTAACGCACCATCGGATTAGGAGGACTTTACTTGACCCCCCATTAGGACTGGCTTTTATGTGCTGTTTATCTAATCTGTGGACCGCATCGCATTGTCAAGCAGTAGCGTGGCCATATAGAACCGCATTATTCCCTGACCCACTCTGGTTGGTTGTGTAAGAACCCGTGTGATGTGGTGCGAGTGGTTTGCTGAAAGGATTGTGATGACCACACATGGTGCATGTTTGCAGCGAGGTGATGGTATTGGGATTGTAGTGTGGGGACGTGGTGGAACAGTTGTAAACCCCCATTCTAGGTCTGCTTTCTAATCGAAGTAAGCCTAAATAATTTCAAAAGTCAAATTTGGCCAGGTTTGTGATGACATGTGCTATTTTGCAATGCAATTATATTTCATTAGAAAGATTTTTTCTTCCCATCGTTTATTAAGAATTCTCAGATTTGAATCTGGAAAGGTAGCAAAATCAGCGTGAAAGGATGTCGAAATTGCTTTACATAAATGTATGAGCTGTCCTCAGTACCAAGCACTTTGGCAACTTAGGATTTTACTTTAAATTGCTTTGGGGCAGTCAAGCATCTCAGGCGACTATCATGATTTCGCATTGCTCCACAATTTCCTAGTTCATTATTATTTGTACTGAAGTCGTTCTATATATAAAATAAGTTTTTTTTTTAAAAGTTGTTTTGATGTATTTGTTTCAAAATAAAGTGGCCTTATATTTATATCACATCTTTAAATGAATGGCTTTCCTATGAAATCTGATAAACGAATTAGGCGAAAATATTTTAAACTAACAAATCCGAGCGTTTATTAGCTATCTCATTTTGATAAAGAAATAAAAAGGAAACCTAAAGCAAAATTAAATCTCTCCACCCATCTACATACATGTAATGTTACGGTTGATACCTGTTTTTGTGAGGAACTGCCTTCAACTTTTGATTTAATCATTCTCCCACGCCAAGTAGGCTGGCCTTGGGGCCATGTCAGTAGCTCATGCACCTTCTTAATGTTGAATATATGTATTCTGCCAGTGCATTATGTCTACTTTCGTCTTCAAGGCAGTCTCGGAGTGTTACATAAAAATCCCAATGAAATCAATTTCATCTTCCTGATAATGCAACAGTAGTTGTGCCACATCAGTTACAGCGACGAATCGAGCTTGTATTTAGAGTCTAGTGATTAGCAAACCTACACAATTTTACTAAAGCACTTGAAGAGACCAAACTACAAACATCACGACACATGTCAGTCAGATGTCGGATTTGACGAATTACAAAAAGGTAATCGAGATGAGATGACCACGTTGTATCTTGCAGCAAAATGTCAATGGAAAGCACTTTCTCCAAATTGGTATTTACAGTCCTTAGCTGAGTGCACCTCAGCGCAACTCCATGATTAAACTAGTTTTTTGAGTCGTTAGCAGCTAAGAATATCAAGGAAGGTTTTTTGATGCAAGACCTCGAAGGTGGTGTTCTACGTTCTTAGCAGAGAGTTTAACGAACTTGTGCTTGTTGTGGTCATGCCCACTTAAATCACACCAACGGCGAAGCCACGCCAAAGCTCGAACTAGGCAGTGTGAGTAA